ATATATATATATATATATATATATATATATATATATATATATATATATATATATATATATATATATATATATATATATATATATATATATACCAGTTAACAGCTAACAAACAGCCAACCAAGGTCACGTGACTGCCAACTCTCATTCTCGTTTGATGCGGACTAAAATTCTGTTTTCAGACTTGAATAAATAAATAAATAAATACACGATAGTGTTGGGAAAGTATTAAAAAAACAGCTAACCAAGGTCACGTGACTGCCAACTCTCATACACTCTCATTCTCGTTTGATGCGGACTAAAATTCTGTTTTCAGACTTGAATAAATAAATAAATAAATACATGATAGTGTTGGGAAAGTATTTAAACAGCTAACCAAGGTCACGTGACTGCCAACTCTCATGTATTCTCATTCTCGTTTGATCAGGAATAAAATTCTGTTTTCAGACTTAAATAAATAAATACATGATAGTGTTGGGAAAGTATTTCAGATTTAAGAACAGCTAACCAAGGTCACGTGACTGTCAACTCTCATGCACTCTCATTCTCGTTTGACGCAGGACTAAAATTCTGTTTTCAGACTTAAATAAATAAATACATGATAGTGTTGGGAAAGTATTTAAAACAGCTAACCAAGGTCACGTGACTGCCAACTCTCATGTACTTTCATTCTCGTTTGATCCGGACTAAAATTCTGTTTTCAGACTTGAATAAATAAATAAATACATGATAGTGTTGGGAAAGTATTTAAAACAGCTAACCAAGGTCACGTGACTGCCAACTCTCATGTACTTTCATTCTCGTTTGATCCGGACTAAAATTCTGTTTTCAGACTTGAATAAATAAATAAATACATGATAGTGTTGGGAAAGTATTTAAAACAGCTAACCAAGGTCACGTGACTGCCAACTCTCATGTACTTTCATTCTCGTTTGATCCGGACTAAAATTCTGTTTTCAGACTTGAATAAATAAATAAATACATGATAGTGTTGGGAAAGTATTTAAAACAGCTAACCAAGGTCACGTGACTGCCAACTCTCATGTACTTTCATTCTCGTTTGATCCGGACTAAAATTCTGTTTTCAGACTTGAATAAATAAATAAATACATGATAGTGTTGGGAAAGTATTTAAAACAGCTAACCAAGGTCACGTGACTGCCAACTCTCATGTACTTTCATTCTCGTTTGATCCGGACTAAAATTCTGTTTTCAGACTTGAATAAATAAATAAATACATGATAGTGTTGGGAAAATATTAAAAAAACAGCTAACCAAGGTCACGTGACTGCCAACTCTCTAGCACTTCATTCTCGTTTGATGCAGGCTTAAAACATCCTGACTGCATGAGAAATTTAACTTCCTTTTAGCATACCAGTATTTATCAAAATATATCTTTGTATATCTTTCAATATTATATATGAGTTCTCAAACCATTAATAATTCAAAACACAAAGGACCATGAAGCGCCATATGGTTATCTAATAAGCGCCCATATTAAAATTAACTGAACCTTCACGTTGAATTTCACGGCTAGCGCTTCGTTTTTCAAACATCATTCGGTATTTTATATACGCCGGTAATAAACGCTTTCTCGTACATTATAATTACAAAAAAATATACCAAAATTAACGAATAGATAACATTGTGCGGTTGTCTGTCTACTTATAGATACACAGATGACGTCATAACGTGGCAAGAACAAAAAAGGGGCCACGAGCCGCCGGGGTGAGTGGGTCACTGATGTTCTTACCACGTTATGACGTCATCTGTGCATCTATAACTGAACAGACAGCCGCAAAATGTTATCTATTTGTTTTATACAATAAAATACAGAAAATCAACCTTGTTTAGCGCGAAAATTGAAGTAAAAAGCTTCTGTCAAATTCCCGCCAAATTTCGGGGCATTGAAAACAACAAAACATGCACGCCATCTGACGTGACTATGATCTATACAGTTGATTGGTAGGGTGGATTATTGCAGCGAGTTTGATTGGCTCGCTAGTTATGCCAACACCGTGCGTCTGTCCTCTAATAGATCATGGCTCTCGACCAATGAAATTGCGTGAAATCTTTGTGTTATTAAATAATATTAAATATATAACGGTTTGAGTCAGTTGATATTTTGTAAATACTAGTTTTTACTGCTTATATATGCAAGTTGCAAACATATTACATATTCTTATAATGTATATATATGCCATACATACATTTGATAATCAGTGATAGTTCAATTTCGATGGTATTGAAAAACACGGTGTAAGATGTGTAAGCAATTTTGTAGTATGTGTAAAATGAAATATAAAGTTCATTCATCATGCTAAGATATTATTACGGATTATGTTGTTTACAAGAATTGCACTTTGTTTATAAAATTTAATATATACATGGTAAAGCACCGTTTTTACAAAACAGTTTCTAAATCTCAAGTCCCAAGATGAGCTTTCAGTTCACTGGGTGTCAAACTAATATACTTAACAAAATACAAAACAACGGTAACTCCGAAAAAAGAACATTTTTAATATAGAACTATAGCTATTACAATTTCCTTTCCGGAGTTACCGCAACCTCGTACCCAGGGTTCTCTTTGTGCTGACCGCGGGAGAGAACCCTGGGTACGAGTTACCATTGTTTTGTAGTTTGTAAAAATGCTCAGTGGTTCCCGTAATAATACTTGATAACCTTAAACACTTTTAAAACCAACGACGAACTCTGATGGAGATCATGGGCCAGCGTTGGTTAAATTAAACCATATATATAGTCAATAGAAGGTTAGGAAAGTCGATGCAGACATAACATATAGACCTCATTATCTAGTATGTTTTTGTCTTGGTTTATGCAAAAAAAAAATGGTCGGTTCATCAACACGTGTGTACTGTTTCTTCGCCCAACCAACCAATAGCAGTGTGTTCAACTTGGTTTAATTACCCAGTCGTGATCATAGAGATTATAAATAACACTAGAGGGGACATCGAGAGTGAAATTTGGGAGCGCGGTAATGGGAGGGCAAATTGAAATCCCGGATGAACACCACACAATTCTTGGGTTACACTTGAAACCTGCAAAATTTAAAACAACAAGAGTCACAAAACTGGGTGTTTTATATGTTTTGCATGTCATTACTACAAACATTACCCCAAAAGTTTGAATTCAAACGGTTAATTCCTTTTGAAAAGATCAAAATTGCTAACATCAGCATTATTTTGGAGCGTTCTCAAAAATGTGTTATAGACAAAATTGAGATAAAAATGCTTGGTAAAAATCAAAACGGGATTACCCAACTGCCATAAACAAGAATTTAGATATTTTGGCTCAAACTCGCTCTTATTTTAGCATTTTAATTTTTTGCCCCCCCCCCTCCCCAATAGCCGCGTTCCCTTTCTTTGACTAAATTATGATTACGATGCCCCCCTCTAGTGTTATTTATGATCTCTATGGTCGTGGTATTATACACAATGGAAACGAGAGTTTCCTAACAATCTTATTCTATTGACTATGGTTAAAGAGAGTTCTTTATTTGTATTCATCATGCACGATATATTACACTAGGCATGAGGACAAACTGCCGGAACAGATTACATTTGTGATTTTTTCGAATTAACCTTTCTCACGAAGGCCAAAAATCAACCATTTTTGTGGTACAGTCTCCTCGGAGACACTCAAACGTGGGAGAAGCAGTTCCCCAGAAATGGCAGGAAAATTGTCCGTGAGAAAGGCTAATTGGATAAGAAAATTACTCTTGATGTTAAAACAGTCAGACTCCATTGACTTTTCTTTCTTACAACCTCGAATACCTTTGGAAACATAGATGATCCAAGGAGCACAATACCTGCTGAATATACTGACAATGACATGCCCAATGCATTTTAGCAACATGGTATATAGCTACAAGAAAAAAATGAACTTTCCATTATTTTCAATAAATACCATATAAACCTACACAGGAGACTTCTAAGAAAATGGAGCAGTGCGGACACTACTGTTGCTGGAAATTGAAATCCATTAACCTTTTTTGGCTCAAAGTTATGTTAATTTACTTATTAGAGCGATATCAGGCTTGATAAAACCTCCTTACAACTTAGAAGTTAATCACTAAATCAACCATATTTTGATTCACATATTTTGAGAATATGGAGAAACTTATAATAGAGGCAACGTGAATCAGGTCATTTTGTATGAAACTAGCAAAGCAGTTTGAAACTTAAACACATCAGTTATCTGACAAATATTCCCGGAAACAAGAATTACTACGTACATCATGCATATCTCCTTTAATTTTTAAAACTTTCATTTTTGAAAGACCTTCAATTTCGGACCCTCCACAAAACTCAATTATGAGAGTAGAGGGTACATACCTTTGGCACGACTGCTTGGGTTCAGCAAACTTGTGTCTTGTCATAAACGTAGCTAACATTTCCGCAACCTATGGAACAAGAAGTACTCGTACTGTAAGCTGGAAGTTTATAAATTGTATTTATTAGGTATTGGCAAATTAAACTTTTTTTTTTAAAGATTTATTATAACCGTGAAGATCTTCTCAGTTATCTTTGCCTATATGCACTTTTTTATTCATATGCGAGACGAGTAAAATGCATAGTGAGTAAAATATATAAAGAGCGATTAAAATAAAGAGTGATTAAAGATGTAAGTCTCACGATCCGTTCTATATTTATCAGGCACTTACATCCGTCAACCAAGTTCTTGAGTATAGTGCTGTCTATATACTTGAATCCTATAGCACACTCGATGTAGGCTACTTAAACACCAACATAGTTGTGGAAATTCAACAACAAACCTTGTCAGGGTCATCTTCATGTACGGCGTGGCCGCATTTTGGTAATATATGAAGTTGGAACTTTCCTGGAAATTGAGCAAAGAATATTTAATCAACATCTTATTCAATCAATCAACTTATATAGATCAAATAGTCGCGATGTAAGTATAGCTGCGGTGAATCTGGAATATTTTAAGTTCTATAAAACAGTAATTAGACCTGTTCTTGAGTATTCCGATGTCCTGTGGGCTTGGGGATTGACAGCAAAGCAACGAATCAATACATGAAAGAGTCCAAAAGCGAGCGTTACAGATCATCTGTCCAAGAGAGAAGTATGAGAATGCACTTTTATCAAATGAAATTACCAGATTGGAAGAACGAAGGAGAGATCATTGTATAAACTTGGTTAGTGATTTATCAGAAGAAGAGCACAAACTTCACCACTCCCATCAAGGAAGTGTCAGATAATAACAGGAAATACCAGATCTAATAAAGATCTTTTTTATAATTTTAATAGTAGAACAAAAAGATTTAAATTCAGTCCAATACCGTATGCTGTAGACACTTTCAACTCTAGTAACAATGGATGATGTTTTATCTAGTAACTAATCTTTGTAAATTGCACAGTAATTTAGCTTTGTGTTATTGTATGCGATATTTTAAACCAGTTTAATAATAATAATAAAATAATAAATTCCTAGCTTTCTTAAGTAGAGCATCCACTAAATGCCAGACAAAGGGTCATCGCTCGAAACGTCGACGTTTTACGAGCCTGGTGAAAAACACCGTGATTGTGATTCAGGCATTCCTCAATAAAGATTGATATTATTAATTAAAGTTCTTTTTGTATTTTCAGATGGTTGTATCACCTACAAAGACCACAGTCTGGTACAGTATCTTCGCTACCTACACTAGTCTCCACGCACAGGGAAGAATATTTACAATTTCAAGGAAGTTAATAATAAATGATAAGCTGGAACATTCCTAAGTTGAGCAAAGAGGAATCTGAACAGACCAACATCCGAAAACTATAAAGTCTCGGTCATACGATCGATGAGAGATTGCAACTGCTGCTGGCGTTTGACCACCTACTCTCGTCGTGTCTGACTACTCTCGTGGCTGGTTTAAATTCTGATGAGGGTTCGTGCTCTGCGTGGTAATATCTACTGAGTAATCAATCGTCATCAACTTTGACTGGATAATAAGACGTCAGTAACAAAAATAGAGTTCCCACCGAGAAAGGAAGATATATAATCTGTCAAGATGTGATGATCTGGAAGCCCGGCAAACTTCAAAGCTACAAAATAGAAAACCATTGTTTGATGTTGAACTGTACTTCACCATGCACAAATCCTTTGTCTCAACTTCATTAAATATTATGAATCGTCGTTGCACGTTTCATCTCGGCTTTCCCTACTGGAAAACATAAGTATAACACAATGACGTCTGCTTACTTTCCACAGACCAACATATCGTGACAGACTATGGAAGATGTGCGTCTTGTTCAATCAGCAAGTCTGTAACAAGATTACTTAATCTTTCCATCAAGAGTAACCATTTCCCAAAGATTTGGAAATGCGCAAAGGTCACGGCCCTATTTAAATCAGGTGAACGTTCCAATCCTACAAACTATCGTCCTATCTCGGTCATGCCTAATGTGGAAGGCTTTGTGGAGGATTTCTAGATTTGTCGAAGGCATTCGATACAGTGGACCACAGCATCTTACTCCACAAACGTAAAGCGATGAGTGTGTCACTGTGTCATCTAGCACCGTAGGTTAGATTGAGTCCTGCTTGAGCAATTGGATGCAACAAACGTCTTGTGAAAGTGAATTGTCGGACGCTCTTCCTGTCACTTTTGGAGTACCCCAAGGGAGCATTTTGGGCCCACTTCTCTTTCTCGTGTACATAAACGATCTGCCCAGTATTACCAATAAATGCAATGTTTCCTTGTATGCCGACGACACAGTCTTATATTGCTACGCCTCAGATGCCAATGATCTTGAAAGAAATCTTAATGAAGATTTACTTAAGTTGTCAATTTGGTTAAATGAGAATAAGCTGACACTGAATTTAAATAAAACTCGATCAATGATTATAGGCAGTGATAGGAAGTTATGTAATATATCTTCGATGTCTGTCCCTGTCAACAATACTGAAGTCTCCAACGCCAGCAATTTCAAGTCCTTAGGAGTCACCATCACAGCCAACTTCACCTGGTTCTGACTATGTTCTTACATATATATATAGATCGCATTTCCGCTAAAGTCAATTACCGCCTAGGTCTACTTCGTACTGTAGGATTAAACACCTGCTACCATTTAATGCACGAATCCTTTTTTATAACAGTCTCGTACTCCCAGTCTTTAACTATGCGGATATTATATGGGGAGACAAAAATAATACAGTGCTAATGAACAATCTTCAGATACCCCAGAACAAAGCCGCCAAGATTGTTTTAGATAGACAATTTTTTCATCGGCAACAGGCGCGTTAAACACTTTAGGCTGGACCACTTTTGAACAACGTAGATTGTATCATAGATGCTTATTTGTTTTTAAGTGTCTAAATCATCATACCTCACATGGATTTGAACTTCTAGCGAACAGAGAAATATACAACTACAATACGTGATATAAGGACAATTTAAGGCCACCTAAAGTGTCAAGGAATTGGGGAAAGCAAAGACTCGCGTATCAGGCCATAACAGACTGGAACAACTTGGACAGAAAGATAAAACTCTCTAGTAGTATTTCTACATTTAAGAGAAACTTTTTTAGCAATCTTTGAACATTCCTTCGTATAATTGTTTAATATTTTTCATAGTTATGTAGTATATGCATGTCTTCCTTGTAAATTTGTTTATTTAGTTCAGCACCTTTCTGAAAATCACTTTGTGAGAAAGCTTCCTGAAAATAAATATTAATTTAAAAAAATTTTAAAAAATATATTAGGTTTATGTTGAATATACCTTGTATGTGGGCAACAGTCAGCTCTTTATCCAGTCGATCTCGACCTAAATAAAGACCACACCTGTCCAGTAAGTTATTTCAAATTCTGGCGTATACACCCCTTTAACCTACAGAGTATTTGGGAGACTGGGCTAATTTTGGATGTGAAGGAATGAGAAGATTTCTGGTAAAAATGACATAACTTCTTTCAACTCAGATAGTCGCGAAGACGCCAAGCGCCAGAAACCTCGACTCTGATACTTCAACCTTAAACTCCGTACGTCGAAATGGTGTATTCCCACAGTTTGCCAATAAATTACCGTGGTTTGTGCTTGTACCTGAAGATGATTAAAAACACTTCAACGTTTCGATCACATGCAGATAGTTTATACCAACCACAGCTTACGTATCACGGTAACAGTGAGTGCTACAGTAAATCAGGTGAAATGCAGTAAAAATATAATATTTTTTGCTACGAACATTCCCATCATACCTGCCACAAGAAGTAGTTTTGGAACTGGACATGAAAGAAATAACCGTGACATATCGTTAAACCAGCCTTGAAGAAAATAATTTGACGTAAAAATGAGATAATTTACCATTGACGTTTCCATGCATATATGACTGTATTTCCAAAATTCACAATTATAATATACCCTGCCAAAATGTTTCTGTTTCTGACAGATTAATTCTCCACCTATATTCACATTGTTCCTAATAAAAATAAAGAAACAATACTAATGGCATTGCATAACGTCTATCCTCTTTTTATGAGTGTCTTTATTATGATGAAATAATAATTATCATCATGTTGCAAGTTACACTAAGGAGCTGTTTATATGGGACGAGACACCCAGAGGTGGCCGAGTTTTGACAACATCATGCTTTTGTTATTTCCTACTAAATCTAATTTAACCAATCTGGCGTGCGTAGGCAATATCCCGCCTGAACCGACATCTCGCTTAGACACTGGGCTGATATTTTCTTTCCCCGAGCTGGCTCGCCTACCCAGGTTGAATTTAATTAATGTTTTGTTTACGCAAATATGTTGTAAAGTTTCGATAAACGACCCATTTTGATCTTAAAATGTCTTTTATTTCAGTTCGTGATCGCTTTTGTGCGGGATCATAACTGCGAAACCTATTCGGGAAAGTATAACTTCACGTTCCTTGAAAAATGTGTTTATAGCCTGGGTGCTTTATTGAGTCGAGCCTGATGTTCCATATAAATTTCTTCCGTGCTTTGGAAATTTCCTACGATCCTGAAAATCCAAGAACATTCAAAACTATATGTACCAAGTGTAATACCGCTCGAACTCTGGTTCAGCCTCTTAAGTGCTGCTATTAGTTATAGTTTTATTTAGATAGTTTTTTTTATGTTTGTATGTCCTAATTCGGGCCCGCAGTAATTGGCTCACGCTGTTGCGGTCACCCTGCCTATAGTCATGTATATTATTCTTGTTCTTGATATTTGTGGTGTTACTCTGAGTGTATATCCACACCGGGCGAGCTTTGAAAAATATGCCCGGCCACGGTGGGATTCGAACCAACGACCTTTGGAATACTAGCCTAATGCTCTTCCAACTGAGCTACGCGGTCAGGACGATTCGAGTAAGTGATATTTCGGAACAGAATCTGGTTCCTTCGATACCAATGTATTCTAGTAATATGAATTTTTTTTTTTCTGTGTTGGTGTAGTGTACTCAGGTGAATATGATATTTGTGGTGTTACTCTGAGTGTATATCCACACCGGGCGAGCTTTGAAAAATATGCCCGGGCACGGTGGGATTCGAACCTACGACCTTTGGAATACTAGCCTAATGCTCTTCCAACTGAGCTACGCGGTCAGGACGGTTCGAGTAAGTGATATTTCGGAACAGAATCTGGTTCCTTCGATACCAATGTATTCTAGTAATATGAATTTTTTTTTCTGTGTTGGTGTAGTGTACTCAGGTGAATATGATATTTGTGGTGTTACTCTGAGTGTATATCCACACCGGGCGAGCTTTGAAAAATCCTGACCGCGTAGCTCAGTTGGAAGAGCATTAGGCTAGTATTCCAAAGGTCGTAGGTTCGAATCCCACCGTGGCCGGGCATATTTTTCAAAGCTCGCCCGGTGTGGATATACACTCAGAGTAACACCACAAATATCATATTCACCTGAGTACACTACACCAACACAGAAAAAAAAATTCTTGTTCTTGTTATAGTTCTGTGTATTGTAATATGGCGAAACTAATAAATAAATAAATAGCCCCTAAAGGTGTGTCCACAGATACAATTACTGTTAGTAGTCGTATATGATTGTCATTCTGGCACATGAAACTTACTGCTGAGGCAACAATTCCTCTCCATTTAGTTTATAATGCCTTCATGGAGTATTTTAAAATGCAACCTTTTTACGCGTGTTTCTTCGATTACACGCCAGAATAAGAATCGTTCATGACTAATCGACACACAGGGAGCCCACCCCGGGTCTTATTATAAGATTACATAGAGGTAATAAGAGCAGGCAGATCGCGGGCTAACGCGTGTCATCCCGCAAAATACAGGGCCTGTGCCTGCGCTTCAACACTGAACTATGTATTTCCATATATGTAATAATTTATTATGTGATGTTATAATAAGACCCGGGGTGGGCTCCTGTGGTAGACTGGCCTTTAAATCAAACAACTTAAAAAAACAGTGTATTTAAATCATGCAAACAACTTAAAAAACCAGTGTCTAAAGGCCGGAAGATTAACAATGCTAGCACAATATATAGCACCATCAACTAATGTTTTTGACGAATGACTTGCTTGAAAATAATTGGAAGAAAAAATGGACTTAATTACAACACATGTACTGTACCTACCGTATTAGTTTCACTGCTATGATCGTTAGCTGTAGTCTCTGTGCAATCTTCAGACGCTTCAGATATCACTGATAAACCAGGTGAGGTTAACTTAGAACTGGATTCTGACTGCTCGGAATCGACTGTTATTCTGAAAATTATAAAGCTGCAATAGTAAACCTACAGGTATAAGCTCAGATATATGAGCATATGCAGTAATAAAACTGTTTATTTCGACAATAATATTGCATGCAGTCATGGTACTTATACTGTAACGTGTAGGACGATACACCATACTATTATGTCTGGGGCCTAATATCTGATTCGCATTGTCCAACGAACAAATGCAGACTTTCATTGAACACAACAGTCCAAAATACACATATCTACAGTAACATGTTGATTGGACTATACAGACAAGCAAGCGTCTAAATGTTTTACTTTTCTACGGTGGACAAACCAGCAGATGACGGCACTTAGATTGCGAGCTTTGTATCAACCTCATAAGGATCTCTGGACTTATAGGTAGTTTGTATTAAAAGTATTATGTGGGGAGTGTTTTATTAGATAGAACGTCATTGAATGTGAAATATATTGCAGACTGAAGAAATCTCACAGATATTAGAGAGGCTCAAATTTGATAACCACTATATCGCAACCTCTCACAAGCTCAATACGCATTTGATTGGTTAATCGGGACGATTAATTGCATCTGATTGACAATAAATGGTTAATGGTAGCGGTAGTTGTAGTCAAAATGTGAACCTCTCTAATTCCATATCTGAACGACAGTTACTTCACAAGTTGTCCTGGCATTGAAACTTTTGCAGATTCAAGATTTCGAAGCTGACCACTGCGAACACTAAATAGAAAAAATATGTTTACAATATTTTAACAAAATCAGTTAGTTCGCTTAAAATCTTTCATACTGTACAAAAACAGGAAGAAATGGTCAGTGTTTCTACCTCCATTCAATAGCTTTCTCCATGGAACGAAAACTCTTCGGTCGACCTTTGAGAAAACTTTGCATAACTGACAAACCTTCAAGAGCTGTCCCTATAAAGTGCAAAAGTTTACCCATTGACGTGCACGATTAATTTTTCGTCATTACAATACAACCTAAGGTCCAATTGATAAATATACACTATACTTAACCGAAGGTCATGGCATCTTTTACAATTACCAGCACCGTATCGTCATTTTTAATATGCAGCAGACGAATTTAAAAATTAGTTTTTCCTTAAGTTTAAGGAAGCCTATTACAGCACATTTTTAATAAAAATACTAAAAGCTTTACAACTGATTGAAGTAGTTTACTGTCTAGTTAAAATCTCCTTACGACAGGCACATCCAGCGCGCAATACTTTAACCTAGCAAGAAACAGATCTGGAAAGGGTGGCTTGGCAGGTACATGTAATTGCAACATTGTTTTGCATTGGATCCAGTCGAGTACAGAATTGTTTAGAAGAATGAAATTACTGTACTAACTTAGCCTCCTTCGCAGGCATCTCGTAGCTCACGTACAGTACTAACTGTACGCAGGGTCTTAGCTAGGATTTTAGATCTTGGGCGTGTTTCTAATGACCAGGGTGTGCACATCTCAATTACTTTGAATAGCCAAATTCACGGTTCTATAGTTATACTCGCCAACAACAATGCCTGTGGTTGTTCACTTGTTCTATGCTTTGCAACCAAATACAAGGCGAGCAAACGCTCATATTGCGCACTGACATTAGAATATTTAAAAGTTATTTCAGCAACTCTTGGGGGTATTTAAAACCACTTTAACACCATACGGTTCCCATTATCCATCAAAACATTAAAACATCACAGATCACTAGTATACTTTTGCCAATTTCAACAACAACAGTAGATTTTACAAACTTTCTTACAACGTAAATTGGAAGAAATTCTGTCTGTTGTAAGTACTGTAGCAACACCATATTTTATAAACCTACACGGCCTTATAGAAATAGTGAAGCCGCGTTCATTTTATCTAGCCGTGTTTTTCCACTTTTGGCCGCCATAACACGGCCCTCTAGCTAAGACCCTGACTGTACGTACTTCGTTCCACGGAAATTCTGTTTTACGTCTTGTTTTGATATGCGGCGATGAAATAAGCCTTGTATACCTTCTACAACATCAACAACAACAACCCCAACAAGACAAGGAAGTAAACGCTGGGCAGACAAGTGAACAGCAACCGCACCACCCATACTGTGAAAGAGAATAAAACGTAAAATGAACCTTATTGCCCTGGTTTGTCATCTTACAGTCTAAAAACATATATACAGTATGCAATTTCTCATCTAAGTGACAAGATAAATCCTTTGTAGATATTTTACCCGAAGATGAACAAAAGAAGTTCTTCAGTACCTGTGACCAATTAAAATAATTGGTGGAGGATCTCGCGGGTATAATGCTTCAACTACACAACGCACATCGCTGCAACAAGAAACATAACTTGACAACAGTGAAACTCCGAATAAAAGCCGGGGGAAGGCTATACACTGTATATGGAATTTCTGAGCATTACGTGGGTTTTACTGGGTTGGGCTTATATTTGGGGTGCTTACATTCGAAGCTTCATGGTATCAAATACATTTTGTGTAAATGTGGCCGCCGAGAGTGGGGGGAGGGGGGGCATTTGCCCCTGCCTGAGAATCGACGAAAGCCCTTTAAACGAAAAATATAAATCCTCAGTGCCGAATGATATGCAATAAAGCGTAATATATTGTAAAACACCGCTTCTCCAGTTTAACAATTGTGACGTCATAGGAACCCCTTGGAAGATTTTATGATGTCATTGGGCCCCCTGGGAACGATTCGCCCCAGGCCCTCTCGTCGGCCCTGGGTGTAAAACATTGAGCCAAACGGGCAGGCCTACCACATCCCAACTTAGGAAATTAGCTTGATATGGTAACGGATGAGGGAAGTAGAAAACGGCGTGACTTTGTGAGGCGAAGTGACTTCGCTCAAAATGTTTTACTTGTATTGTTCTGGCAGTTGAATCCATATCCATCTCAATTTTCAGATATTGTGAGCTGCTAGAATAACGATTTTGTGAGTAAAACTTTTGTTCTTATAAAACTTTTATTTTGAATTAACGTTGGCTTGACATGATACAAACATTTGGCTTAAATAGTTTTCTTGGGGATGCATATCACGTAAGCAATCAACTACTAGTGAGTTTCGTTGTAAGATCAACGACCTACAATTAATTTTTCGGTAAATTAATATATGTTAGTGGCGTCAATCAATATTGAAATTTTAGTGATTTGTGAAATAATGTAGGGTGGTGGTGATAGGCTGCACCCATGGAAAAATCCGTGTCTACTCTCTCCGATAACTTGAATTCCCCCATGCACTACCCATATAAGGGACTGGTCATAAAGTAATTGCTAGGGTGGGCTGGAGGTAAATCACAAATTTTGCCAATAAGTTCGGTGACCCATCTTAGGAAGTAGATAAAAATTTCAAAGCCCATCTAATCTTACAAAAAAATTTTCATGACCCACCCAGGCTAAATTGGGAAAATACACTTTTATAATAAAAAAAACTTGCAGGTATGAACATTGCAAATATACACGGCACTGTTTGACATACATAATTCCACCAAGCTTGACAAACACATTGATACTGAGCTGCTCTCCAGTTGCATGGTTGTATTTGCTGTGATTCGACCACTCCTTGTTGTTGTATAAACAAAGTACTGGCTTCAATAGCATCATTTGCATTTGATAATTTGGATAGTTTTGTTTACTTTTATTATTAATATCTTTATTTTTTGAAGTAGACATGCATGGCTTTTTGTTTGGTGGCCCAACCGTGGACGTACAAAAAAATTGGCGGTCCATCGAAACTGCCCAAAGATTTTCCATGGCCCATCCCAAATCACCCCAGCCCACCCTAGCAGTTACTTTATGACCGGTCCCTAATCATCAAAATGAAACATCGTTACCCAGGACAGGTCTAAAATGAAAACATCAAAAGCTTACTCTGTCAGTGTTTCAATAGATAAGTCCAAGTCATCTGACGTTCTTGAGTCTCCTGTAAATACGTTATATAGTGTACGTCAAACCATCCAATTTTATGGGTTCTTATATAATATCACTTCCAACTGAAGGTATTTCCCGCCATCTTGAATCTATTGTTTTCACCATTGCGTTTGCACCCCCTGCAAATTTACCTACAGGGAATTCCATTGTGTTTGAACCCCTTGCACTATTGTGTTTCATTATGGCGTCGTTAATAGTGTGATTTTATGTCATTTATAAGGAAGGTTACCTTCTGCAATACATAACTCGATACCTACCATGACCTCTGCAGTCTACAGCAACAACCTGACAATGTGATAACGCTGTGACTTTTACCTACACAAGAATTTATTCAAATCTTAAACACTTTGATCCTGCATACTTATTACACTATAGACCCATTGCACTGACGTAACAAATCCTTCGAGTGTACTCCAGATGCTACCTAACAATATCTGTTCGGGTACAACAACCACATACAGCGAAAAAATGAAGCATTTTAATACAAAATTATTATAAACTTTTACAAAATTTGCTTTGTTTACAAAAGTTATATTATGAATAGATTGCTGATTTGTCCTTCAGATGCATCGTTACTGGCGCTGTGACGTCATGTGCAATGGGTCTATACGCATGTTTGGCAAAGGAAGCTTTCAGATTGGAAATTTCTTTTTCATATAATGTGGTTTGATAAGAGTGAGAGTTTTGGCGTTGTTTTCAGCAGTGATTGTAGATTAGTAAGAGTAGTTTTCGGTATCCATGAAATAGACATATTAATAAATCACTTGCTCCAATATTATTTTTTTATAACAAGTATAACAACATCAATTACAACAACAATAATAATAAATAATGTTAGTTTGAAAAAACAACAACAAACAAATTCATCCCAAATGGTGGAGGTGTGAACGAGATGTTTATTAAAAACTACCCATGCGAGGTGTCAATAATTCTTACAAGTAACAATGTCAATAATTCTTACAAGTAACAAAAGAAGTTTATAGCAAAATACAAAAAAATAAATTACAATATAAAAAACATAAGGCAGTCAAATTCGATGACAAGGACATTAATGTGACATTGACCAGGTACATAACAAATTAACATAAAAAACAGAACATATTAATTTCGTCTTCGGGAGTCGTGAGTATGAGGTTCGGATTGTTGCTGTAACGGGTTCGGTTGTGGGGAACAATTATTTTTAACATAGTTGTGGACATCAAGGTCGGTTATACCACAAAGGGCTTTATAGAAAAAAATCAGATCTCTCATCTCTTGATCATAACACAACGGCAATAATTTCAATTTTGTCAATCGTTCACTGGAGCTGAAATCACCTTAACGTTGTCTCAACGTCCGTCTGGTCGCTCGCCTCTGTACCTGTTCCAGCTTGATCTTTTGGGCATGGATGTGTGAAACCTCGCTGGCATAACATAGCTGGGATTTAACGAAGGACAAATACAGGGTGCGACGAATTCTGACATTGGTTAAGACGGGGCATGTTCTTCGAAGTAATCGCAACATTTTGTTGGCTTTTGATGTTATGCTGTTAACATGGGAATTCCATAACAGATTTCCAGTCATAATTACCCAAAATCGTTTTCTTCTTGAACGTGATGGAGGTTGGTTGAGCCAATGTGGTAAGCCAAGGTGATGGGTTTCTTTTGGCGGGACACAGTTCACACTTTGCATTTAGATTCATTGAATTTGATGTTATTGGTGTTGCTCCATGTGGTTAGGTGTGTTAAGGTTTGTTGTAGATGTTGAGTAAGGAAGTCTTCACGTCGTCGGCATACAAGGCAGCAACTAAGTCTTCGGGAATGATGTTTGGTAAATCGTTTATAAATAAGACGAACAACAAAGAGCCGAGTATGCTTCCTTCAGGCACGCCGGACGAAACAGAAGACCAACTTGAGGCAATCAATGACAACTCTTTGTGTTCTGCCAGTTAAGTAGTCTTTGAACCATTCAAGAATGCGTCCACAGACACCATATTTCTTCAGTTTTGCCAAAATTATACCATGGTCAACAGAGTCAAAGGCTTTTGCGAAATCTAAATAAATTATGTCAGTTTGTAGGTTCTTATCAAGATTTTCTCCAACCTTGTGAAGAACCTGTAGCATTTGTGTTATACATGATCGGTTACGCAGGAATCCGTGTTGACTGAGGGAAATATAGGTAATTACATGTCCGTAAAGTTGCTTGCATACAAAACGTTCCAGTACTTTAGCGATAATGGGCAAAAGAGATATTGGCCGGTAATTTTCTGTGGGTTCTTTCAAGCCTTTCTTGTGAACTGGTGTCAAGTTAGCTGCTTTCCACTCAACGGGCAGTCGTCCAACACGTAAAGATAAATCAAACAATTCACAAAGATTTGGTGCAATACTACGACTACATTCTTTAAGAATTCGTGTTGGTATTCCGTCCGGGCCACAGGCTTTTGTCACATCTAAATTTCTAATGAGAATTTAACTTCCTGCACACTCATTTGCAATTCACCAATGTTCGTCACATTTGTGATTTCTTCATATTCATCAGTCTTCATCCTCATTGATATCAACATTGGGTTTTGTAAACACCGGGGTAAAGTATAGATTAAGAAGCTCAGCTTTCTTATCTGGGGATTTTGCCGTAACGCCATTGTATACGTGATCTTGGTGTTCTGTTTCGACCGATGATGTAACATGGCTTTATGGTAAGTCCAGAAAACTTTTGGATTAGTTGAGAAAGGTGCTGATGCGTTAAAAATGATTTGATTCCATTTAGACATCACAATAGAGCTGTGCAAACTCCGGTTATTTTAGCTCCGGCTGTCAAAACTCCGGCTCCGGCAAGGAAATTTCATATTTAAAAGTAGAAGGAGGCGAAGTATTTCAGTGTAATTTCAGAATTTATTTTATTCCTTTTTGAGCTTACATCCACCAAATGTCGGGGCTAGACTAGAATGCTTAAATTGTTAATTGACTTCGAGTTAATCCCCGGCAGAAAAGGGCGTGGCAGGGGCTTAACTCGAAAAGGGCTTAACTCGAAGAGCTTAACTTGAAAAATACCTACCCCGTTACCGAATGGTATTCTTGTAATTCATGCTGAAGCTGTGGTTTTCTCGGTGCTGTATGTAAGATGGGCATTAAAGTACTAATTGGAATTGCGCTGAATAAATATATGTCAATTACGTTTCCTATATCCTAAGACAAAAACAAGTTAAGAACATTAAAGAACTTTTAAGCACTACTGTCAACACTAACACCCAGATTTAAAAGGTTAATTATAAAAAGTAGGGTTTGGTTGTCATCCAACAATCTATCTTCAATATACTTACTGTAAAAAGTGACCATGTCAATGCAGAAAATCCACCACCATGTAATAATAAGAGAACCGGACCACTTGATCCAGATTTATAAACTCGGAATATCTACTTGGTTGTTAAAGAAACACATTATCTACTATATATAACAACCAAACATTTCAACAGCTATATAAAATAATTAATCCAATGCCTTTGTTTGACGTACGATTCTCTTCGTGAATTTGGGTTAAGTCCTGTCAGCTACTATAGACACCTTAAGATTGACGTTTACGGCAAACGTCAAACCGCTAGCGAAGTTTTTGATTTTACAACTCTATTATAATAGTGTTTACACCAGTTTTGAAATATATTAAACAATTATTAAACTTGTGATATTTAGCAATGATTTAAAAAAGCAAATTAAGCACTAGTCATGTATTCAACAAAGCAGTAAATTAAGATTTGGTGTTTGAAGTTGACGTTTGGCGTATAAATTTCATACTTGAACTGCTACGAGGGCTTGTTTTATTTTTTTATTTTATAAGCTTTATTGGACATAGAAATTCTAGATTACAAGGTGAACGTCCAATGGGGTTAGTGCCATATGCAAACGGGAAAACGAGACCCATGCAAGGCACAACCCCTAAATAAAAGAAGGACTAGTCTACAGCAGTAACAAAAAAAGAAAAAGGCTTAACTACTCGGTTGAAAAACGAAGCCTGAAAAGGTTTCGAAACACGGGATGGATTTTGAGAGCGAGAACGACCATGTTGCACAAAAGATACAAACTGTTCAATGTTCAAGTCAATAAACAGTCAATTCACAAACTTTCCAAGATTTGGGAACCTCAGTTGTACCAGTTTAGATACAAAACAATAATATTCATTTGTATTTAATTAAAATACACACAGTGGTTCCCGCAATTTCAAACGTCATTGCAATGAAATAGTTAAATAAAGTATTACAGCATCATAGATGGATGAACGTAATGTGTCTTTGTTGCTTGATTAACCCATTGAGCCACAATGCGCCCCAGTGCGCCCTACTTATTTTTTTTACTTGTCTAACGCTAGACGATTTTACTCGTCAATGGGGGGGGGAAGCTCTGCAGGTTGATGGGTTAACCAGAAAAATAAAAAACCCCTGACCATTCAAAAAGGCATTCTGGAAGGACAGCCATGCAGAGTCGGTCATTTAAAAGGTAGGTAAGGTTGGGAAACTGGAAAGCCGGGAGGTATTTTTTTCATTGGCCCAATTGACTTTACCGACATTAGAAAAAAAGTATTTTAAAGACTAAAACCAATGCCAAAATAGATTTAATATTTTTGAATATATGTTGTAAATCATGGGTGGATTTACTTGGGGGAGGGTACCCCCCCCCCTAGAATCTCTCTAACCCCTCTAATAAACCCACCAAAATTTCGCTACACCCATCTTAATTTTTGTGTGAAAGGTTTTAACCCAAATGCCTAACCCCTGCCAAAGCTCACAGAGTGGTGCCACTTGCACCTCACTAGAAATTTTTCTACCCCTCCCTTTAAATAAATGAAAATCCACCCTTGTTGTAAATATACATATGACAATGAACTTAAACTGTCCACATGTATCCACTATCCAGATTTGTTGTATTTTTGACTTTCCACATATATCCACAAAAACAATACTGACACACTAGAATCACTTACAAAGCATGCACCATCGAATATAATGAGCCCATGATGTAGTTGTTAGTGTTATTATTATACTGTAGTGATCTTTTGCTAGTCACGAGCAAAACCCGGCAATCAGCCAATTACTACCTCGAAAATTCTTTCCTTTTTGTTGCTAATGACAACAAAGATGTAGAACTGGCTAATATTTCTAATTAGTACGAACATATACAAACAAAAATCATGAATTTTGGAGAAATTGGGGGAAAATAAGAGCAAGCAATTTGTGTGGACAGATCTATGAAAGTTGAGCTTCTTTTAAATGTGATCAGGGCTGCCGAGAGGGGGGGGGGCAGAGGGGGCATATTGCCCCGGGCAAATAATAAATTATAATAAATAATAATTATTTATTACAATTTATTATTTATTATTTGCCCGAGGCAATATGCCCCCTCTGCCCCCCCCCCTCTCGGCAGCCCTGATCACATTTAAAAGAAGCTCAACTTTCATAGATCTGTCCACACAAATTGCTTGCTCTTATAAATGTTCTGTTGGGCCCCAGTCATTTTTTTGGGTGAAATATTTCCGTGCAAAGGGCAAGATATTTGTTTTTTTCAGTAAAGTACCGAAATTTTGTATGCAAAATTGAGGTGAAGTCACTGAAAAGCAATTACATTGTACTTGTCTGGAAATTTTTGGTGTGGGAGGTTGTTGGTGTCCGAAAAAATTTTTTCCCCAGGAAAATTTGAAATAGGGGCCCCTAAAAAAAATTTTGCCCTGGGCCCCTGTCAAGCTCTCGGCAGCCCTGAATGTGATTCTGGAATGTAAAGTCACAACTCACAAGGAGGGTATAGATCAGCTGGGAATCTATATGTATACAGTCAGTTACATGTTATTAGCGGGGGTGAATCACGAATTTCATGGATTTACGCCATCATTTTCAAAACATTCCTGTTACAGCCGCTCCACATGTATCCGGATTTGTTGCGTTTTCCAAACTTCTGTGCATGGAATCGAAACTGGGAAGTCAGCCAACACATGCTGAACCCATCCAAATAAGCATTAACATTCTGGGACCTATGTTTGTCAGATATCATGACCAACAAAAGCTTGTTCATTTTATTGGCACTACCTACACTAGCTGGCACAGTCAGTTCAAGATTATGTCATTTTATAAATATAATTCAATTTAAACTAAAGGATACATTGCTTTCTCCAATATTTACATCTTGACAAGAATCAAAATAGTTTTCCCAGCTTACTTGGGAATAATCTCTTCTTCGCTTTAAACCAGCTCTGTCACTGTGTGTAGATTAAATCATAAATTTTCATTTTTGGATTTGATTTTCTATCCATATGAAGTTAAAAAGACCTACTCACTTGGGTTTTGGTATTCCCGGTGGTAATTTGCTTTTAAGCAGTTCTCGCTGCATATTAAATATTTTCCTAATCTAAAACAAAATACAACACTCTTCTTCAAGCGGCCATGTTTCTTTGCACTAGTATTAAAATTAAAATTCCTTAGTTTTTCCCAAAAGTCCAAAACATTCCTTAAATTATAAGAATTATGTTTGTTTGTTTGTTTGTTTGTTTGTTTGTTTGTTTGTTTGTTTGTTTGTTTGTTTGTTTGTTTGTTTGTTTGTTTGTTTGTTTGTTTGTTTGTTTGTTTGTTTGTTTGTTTGTTTGTTTGTTTATTTGTTTGTTTGTTTGTTTGTTTGTTTGTTTGTTTGTTTGTTTGTTTGTTTGTTTGTTTGTTTGTTTGTTTGTTTGTTTGTTTGTTTGTTTGTTTGTTTGTTTGTTTGTTTGTTTGTTTGTTTGTTTGTTTGTTTGTTTGTTTGTTTCGTTTCGTTTCGTTTCGTTTCGTTTCGTTTCGTTTCGTTTCGTTTCGTTTCGTTTCGTTTGTTTTGTTTTGTTTTGTTTTGTTTTGTTTTGTTTTGTTTTGTTTTGTTTTGTTTGTTTGTTTGTTTGTTTGTTTGTTTGTTTGTTTGTTTGTTTGTTTGTTTGTTTGTTTGTTTGTTTGTTTGTTTGTTTGTTTGTTTGTTTGTTTGTTTGTTTGTTTGTTTGTTTGTTTGTTTGTTTGTTTGTTTGTTTGTTTGTTTGTTTGTTTGTTTGTTTGTTTGTTTGTTTGTTTGTTTGTTTGTTTGTTTGTTTGTTTGTATCAATATTGTACGATTGACGTGCTGGTGCAATGTTAAAAATAATATTGCACACTATGACGTTTTGCTAATAAAGCCAGACAAAATCGCTGTATATTTAAGCCTACAAACTGTTTCAATTTATTCATTTTAGCGTTTATACTTGCAACCTGTTCTCTCTACTAGCTTTATATTGAAGGGTTGTGAAGATGAAAATCTCGAGAAAATCTCAACGGACGATTCCGGTGAAGCCTACACTCGAGATCTCCCCCATCTAGCTCGCGGATAGCTGGTGGCAGGGTTTATTTTAACGTGCAGTTCTACACAAAATGTGCAGTTTTAAACCCATTTGTGCAGTTCTTAAAACACAAATGTGCAGTCACCAAACTAACAAAAATAGCCTTAATTAAAACAGCCTTCTCATTTACTCGTTACCCTTGTGGATGCTCCAGAAAATTCCAGAAACGTTGTCATTAATTGAGCATCAAAAATATAAACGCTTTCTGGGGGAGACTCCAGACCCTCTTATATTCCTTACAAATCACTTACATGCTCGGGTAATGGAAAAGAAGGTAAAATTGGGGCGAGAGAAGCCCACCAAAAGAGATTAGAGTGGCAGAATCTAATATTCTTTGCTGCCTCAAATGCAACTGAAATTAAGGTTGTTATATATTGATTATCCATGATTTTCAGTTACATGTTTTGAAACAGTTTTTGTGAGTGGTTGGATCGAGTTTGTCTGGCCTTTCTCCCACCCAACCACACCATTATTCTGTCACCTATATCCTTCGAACCCCCCCCATCCCCCCAACCCGTTGCCTTCGTAACATCCCTAATGTGTGCAGTTCTAAATTTTTCTTAAAATAAACCCTGGCTGGTGGATAGTGAATTTGAAGTGGTTCAGCAACGTATCATGCAACTGGCTTTTGTTTCCACCTTTTTAAAAATAATAAGACATATACAGTAATTAAATTCGGTTTTCGCATGACAAGAAGAATTGTCTTCATATCATTTTGTACTACAACCTCCCCACCCTGGCTTGCGAGGTTGTTGATTGCCATATGACTACTGATTTGCCATATCCCATCGAATTCACAGCCCCCAATTTATCCCTTCATCAGTTTCAGACGAGAAAAAAAGTAGCGAAGCATCTAGAATGTACCTGAAGTTTGAACTTTAATGTTAAACAATAAACATTTACCGAATTAGTCATAGCAAAAACGTCCAACCTAGTGTCGTACCATGGATTGTAAAATAACATTAATTATTTTAACAATCCATGGTCGTACGTATACACACAGAAAAGTTTAAATCTTTCTACATTTTATGTCAGACTACCAATTAACAGCTTCCGCAGCTGGGTGCGCAGAATATAGATATAGGCAACAACCGAGCTACCACCCACTTATATACGACTAGCAATCTTGTCTATTTATAGACAATACAATCTCGTACCCAGAGCAATGCCTGTGCGCGGGCTAGGATGACATTGGACAAAATGCGTAATTTTGTGGATGAAAATATTAACCCAAGTTTTTAATAGTAAAGATTTCTTTAGGCAATAATTTACAAAGAAATCTTTGACACCATATTCAATTATATGTTTCATTGTTTAATTTTTTAAAAATTTGCATTGATGAGATGAAAACACTATGAAAATGTAAGTATAATATAATTTATGCAAGGGTCGAGGACATCCTCGGTTACAAATGACTTCCGGTGGCACCACGAAACACAGCGACTTCCGGTTGAACCAGTGAACTCAACAACTCTCTTTTGAGACGAAGTGACAAACATCCAACTGGATGGCAAAACTTTAAACAGAGTTTTATTGGTGTAGCTCCAGTAAAAATAACAAAATATAGCACCAAAGTGGTAAGTGTTTGTGAACTTGTGTTTTTAGCTCTTTATTTTAACACATCCGTGGGGAAATTTTTGGACAAACATAAAGCAACGCGAACGGTGTCATCACTTGCATGGTGTCATCACTTGCATACTTCCATTTGTTTTATTTATAGGGAAACGAGAAACTTATTGTGTATTTGATATCATTCGTTTTCTAGTGGATTATAAATGGACTATTATCATTGGCTTCCATGAGGATAGTTAAATTAGGGAAGAATATGTTGGACAAGTTTGCGTAAGCCACTTTTTGTCATTCAGTTGTAAATATTGTTGTCTGACATTGTACAGCTCTTGTTTAGTTCTTGCACATGACTACAGGAGGCAAAATTATAAACATGTTAAATATAACATGTTTCGCTCTTTTGTCCTGTAATGATTTTAAAAAGTGCTTAAAACATGCAACTTGGATGGATTTGTTATGCAAAGCAAAATGCAGTTATGTGGAATTCTAAATGCCAACGAAACGTGTATTTATTTTTTATTTCATGGAAATCATTCTGTCTGCCCTCTAACTTATATATGCCATTATTTATGATATATGCTGCATGCACAGGGTTAAGTCTCGTTAAAATGCATTAATAGCTTTTGTCTTTATATATGCAAATATTAAATCCAATATTTCACACAACTTTATATCTAATTGTTTTGTGTTGTCAGTGAAAAACTCATTAATGCAAAGCTTTCGATTTGTAAGCCTGGGATCTTTATGATTGCAAATATGACAAGATCTGTCAGGTTTACAAATTGGAGCTTTTCACAGCATAAATAGATGTGGCATTTTTCACAAAACAAAGTAATTATATTTTTCAGAGTTAGCTAGAATATAAGCCAATGCAATACAGTTTCTAATAAAACATCTGTTCAAAACTGAATTGAGAAATGTTTGTTTTTCATTTCAAGTTTTGCATGTATAATTGTGGTCATATCTTCATCTAAGAAATTCTGAATTCATCCCTGAATGATTTCATCATAATTCCAAGTCCAGTTTTGACAATTACTCATATCCTCCCCCACATGCTACATGTATGTCATGTGATGCACATTATAGTGAAGAGAAACAGAATGCAGAGATTAAGGGAGACTTAGTGCAAGTTTGATCTATAGCCATCATCTCTACCTTTAGGTCTTACTAAAGTTGACATGTCAACACATGAGAATATTACTACATCCTCTAGTGAGGTTTTACCATGGCTATCGTGTGTCGAGCGGCAGTCAGAACTTACAGATGTTACGCCTGGTGAATATGTTCTCAGAACACTATTCTCTGAATTTACCATCCTCACAGATAGAAAACTGGAACATGTTCTGGCTGAACCATTAGTAAGTATTTAATTATGTACCCTGTGGAGGTTTGTTGCAAGCAACACATTCACACAAACCCTCCCAATATCAATATTTATGCTGCCTATAACTATTTGACTTGTCTGTAGGAAGCTTTAAACATTTTTGCCCTGACAATTGACATTTAGTATAAAAGCTTGGTATATTTTACAATGTAAAATTTTAGTTTCTATATGGTAATTTCAATATAATTATTCATTAGCTGGAAGGAAACAAATTCATGTCTATCTAGAGAAAAAAATCATGTCTATATGGTGTTTATTCTTAGGTCAAGTACAAAAAAATTAGTAGTTTCCCATCCGAATTTTGGAAAAAAAGGAGAATGTGGGCGCTTTTTTTTGTTAAACCTTCAAATATTGCTCTTAAAGTTTATCAAATAACCTATAAACACACGCAAATATTGAAGTTTACTCATAAAATATTAACATAAATATATTAATAAGTACTGAACCGCAAGCGAGAGTTGACGAAAATTCCGAACGCAACCGAACTATGCCGAAAGGAGCAATTACTGGCCGAAATATACTAAGTAGAAATTCTTTGAAAGGCTCGAATATAAACATAAAAAAAAAGAAAAGTCCATGCGGCAAGGAAAAAGGTTGCGGGGCTTGCGGGCGGGGACGAGAAACTAGGAAATTTTTTTACTTGGCCTTATGTTATGCTGGGCAGTAATTCTAATTATTATATATATATATACATTTACGATTCCTGGACCTGGTTCATCACAGACTGCAAGTGTGATGAATAACTGAGCATTTAGTAAAAGTTTAGGAGGTCAATTGAATGGTATTACTGTACATTCATTATTTGATTACCTTTGGCATTAAGGCATATATGTTCTGATAGGTACTTGTAGGTAGATTAGAAGTGCTGTTCTACTCATTATATGAAGGATTGAATTGTAAACTGTTGTGTAGTTTGTGACATAAAATGAAGATTCTCAGTACTCTTACTCCTATTGTCAACAGTTTTGTAAAGTTGACCACCATCTGCACGACATTTTCTCAAACCCACATGACTGTATACTGTCTAGACAAAATTTCTTTTTAACCTAACCAAGGCCAAACTGCATGCATGGGCACTATGCCTCTAGATTCCATATCATTTTAATGATACAACCTTACATGTACTGTCTAGTTTGATTGCTGTTGAATATATTTCATGTACACTTGTCTAGCTGTATGTTGTTTTTTTATATTGTGCTCTGCATGTTTAATTTCAACATGGCCCTGTACATCCTCAATATATCATAAAGTGTCAATTTGGTGGTTAATACAGAAATAGATATGATGTCCTAATTAATCTCCTAGGATATTCTTGTGATATTTGATATATGAATAAAGACTGATCCACATGTAGCCATTTTAGGTTATTTCAAATCATAGCTAAATTGATATAAATATCTATTACCTAATTTAGTGTAGTAGGTATAACACAGTTAATTAAAAGTATAGTATATCTTAGTCTGAGTATAGCAGGAAAATTTATAATATAGGCTCTTGTGACTCTTGTCAGTCTAGAAATACCTACGTTAGGACAAAGGCCTTTATATCATGGGTAATTAGGATCTGTGCACACAAATTTTCTTCTGGTTTAAAAGGAAGATTGGATATTAAATTGCTATAACTTAGCAAGAAATTTATTATTGCAAAATATTATTGCAACAAAGACGTTATTGCAACAATCACAGCATATATATAGTAAATACAGGGTATTTTTGCGTTACTGACAATCACAATATAAACCTGTGTATGTACAGTATATGTTGGCCAGTAACAAACTGCATATGCTGGAGTCCTATAGCCGGTATTCTCGCACATTAAATGATAGGCTGGTTGACAATTTACTATCAGTAATGAGCCCTCGTGTCTCTTATATTTCAAAAGACTTCTAGTGAGACATTTTAAACATTTATGCAGAAATTCTTTTATTTGACAATTTCATTAATACATATCAATTTTCATTCTCAAATCAGTTATCTAGCTGCGCGATTTCGCGGAATCGACCAAAAATCGCTGAATTTGAGTTTAAGTTCGAGGAATTTGAGTTTAAGTTCGCGGAATTTGAATTTAAGTTCGCGGAATTTGAGTTTAAGTTCGCGGAATTTGAGTTTAAGTTCTTTTGCCTAAACTCGTGCGAATTTTTTCTACTTCCGCTACTTCGGTACAAGACAACGTTTGAAATACTCGCAAGCAAAATTTCTCGCAAGCCTACCTCGCCTAGGTCACAGAATATACTTCCTCCGCTATTAAATGCTTCCACAGCCGAATCTAAATTTCTTTCTTTGTTTAGTCGAAATTTCCTGGAGGGTTTTCTGACTCATTAGGGAGTTTACGCATGTACGACGGCGGCGTCAGGACGACGGCTAAACAAACTTTTTGAAATAAATGAATGTTTGAAAATGCTGTCCTGTATTTACTTTCTTATGAATTTAATACAGTTTAGAACGAGTAAAACAGAGCTTTAACCTTCAGAGCAATTTTGATCAACGCTGTTAGAAAAATCGCCTGCCAAGGCTTGAAATGCTAGCGTACTTTACAAGACGTGAAAATATGCATTTTGCCGTCGTCAACAGAGCATGGACGACGTCTGAAACTCCAGATATACTTTTAATTATTCATTTCTTTTTTATTATTATTATTATTATTATTATTATTTAAACACGGTACTATTTCACAAACTACTTACATTTAATTCAATTATATATAAAAGAGAAAGAACAGAAAAATGTGATCTTCCAATTGGCCGTGTGTTTAACTATCTTATAACACTATCTACAAATCAATATACATATCAGTAGACTATTCAACATACATATTTCTTACTAATGTAACAAATACTAACAATATTAAAATGTGCTTTCAATTGATAATCTTGAGTTTTGCTTTAAAAATATTAACAGTTTCAGAATTTTTAATTTCACTTGGTAGATTATTCCAGGCCACTGCACCTCTATAGCTAAATGCCTTTTTCAGCTAATTTGTTTTAGGCTTTTTACCTGGAAAGGGCATTTAGCTACAGAGGTGCAGTGGCCTGGAATAATCTACCAAGTGTTATACTATATAGGATAAATGATATTGTATTGACAGCCGTCCTGATGCTGCCGTCTTACATGCGTAAACTCCCTAATGATATTTCCTCAAAATCACGATCCTGCATTTTTTACGTTTTCGGAAGTGGATTTAAAAAAACCTATAGTGATAGACTGCATTTTTGGTATATTTCCCGAGATTCCCCAAATTTCCAGACTGTATAGATCTTATCCTGAATTTCCTTATTATATCAGGATTTCTCCTGAGAATCACATCAATCACAAGCAGAAGAACCAGGGGCGTCGCTAGACCACTTTGAAATGGGGGGGGGGGGTGTTTTTGCCGGAGTTATCAAGACAAATTCTGCCGAGTCACTACAATCGCTAATTAATAAAATACAATAATTTTTCCCTGCATAGCATAATTTTTAATTCCGACTTCCGAACCACTCAAATATTTTCGCTCACCACGAAAACAATTTTCCGATAAATCGGAAAACATTTTTCCGATAAGTCCGAAAACAATTTACCGATTCTAGCAGACATTTGCCGAATGAGAAGAACATCAAACCGTTCCGCCTGTTTATCATTGCGCTTAAACCCTGGACAAACAAGAATGAGAGTTGATGAGAGTTGAGAATCGAGAGTTTGCATGAGAGTTGATGATAGTTGAGAAGCGAGAGTTTGCATGAGAGTTGATGAGAGTTGAGAAGCGAGAGTTTGCACGACAGTTGATGAGAGTTGAAAAGCGAGAGTTGACGAGAGTTGACTGGATATTACCGCGCGAAAGCGAAAACTCTTATCAACTATCATTAAAATTTCAGCCATGCAGTTCAAAGTCAACGAGAGTCGATGAGAATTTGCGGTCAAACGCGAGCGAGAGTTGCTTCATGTTTGCGTTGCAGTGAGGACAAAGCTTTATACAGCCTAGACCTTATATATAGGCCTTCTATTTTTAGTTTCAACGCCCTCCCACACTTACTAAATGCTACCCAAAATTGACCAAACCTGTCAAAGCCAGCCGAGTAAAGACTTATGGGTGATACGCTTTCACTTTAATGCATGAGCTATGTCTGCGCATAAGACAGTTTTATTGAAAATCCCAAGTCAACTTCGAACTGTGGTATATCTAAGCTCTATACTATGATGTCCAAAAGTATCATCTTTCCAAACTTCTCGCCATACTTCTTTACCGGTCTGGGCGTGTACCACGGTCAACCCTCCACCTAAAGAATAAAGTGTTTCACTTCTTCAGCATTCTATTTGGGACCGATGTCTATAGATCAAGACGAGTCTCAATGGCCTGTTAAACCATATAGTATACGGTACCAATTCAAATAGATGTGGTACATCACAAGGAGACGATGTGACGTACTGGACACTTCTGATAGACCATTCCGGTAATTACGTCACAACTACACTGTTTTCAACTTAGGAAATAGATTTCAAATTTGTTTCTCACGGGCGATGGTCAGAGAAGCAGAACATCCTTCGTCAACACATGCATAAAAAAGAATTTTGGATTTTGACTATTAAATGTGGAAATAACTAAATAGGATTAAACACGAAAACAAGGCCATGACCCCTCCTCGGCCTCGTTTTCGTGTTTAAGCTTATTTCCACATTTATTGGTGAAACTCCAATTCTTTTTTATGCATGTGTTGACGAAGGATGTTCTGCTTCTCTGACCATAGCCAATGAGAAACAAACTTGAAATCTATTCCTTTTAAGGTGGTCCTAAGTTGAAAACAGTGTTAGTTGTGACGTAATTACTGGAAAGGTCTATTGCTGTTTCCACCACAAATACAGCGCAGAGTTTATTCTCCCCGGGGAATATTGTTCGTCTACTTCGTTCTGGGGGCTCCCACAAGTAATGTTATGTACTGAGACAGACAGTGCTAAATAACTGAGAAAATGAATGCCTATTTTTGCTATGTGTGCTATAAGTACGTACTTGTACAAGGAGTGTAGGTGCAGACACTAGTTAAGCTAGGGTGATGTTAAATGTGCCTTTGTTGAAAACAACGTGAACCACACAGGATTTAGTAGTTTCTGATGACTATTTTACCACGTCCTCACAGGGAATGCAAGATTCTTGATTGGTGGTTGGTTGTGGTACACATATGAACCACCCCAGTTTTGTGTATTCAGCAACGGGATCATGTTTGTTCCTAGAGGTTCTTGGCTTTACTGTCGAGAACTCAGTATGCTCCCACGAATAATGCATGCATATATTTTACGTTATAACATGTGCTAGATTCGTGCGCATAATTGTGTTCGAAAATCAACTTGTATTATATCTTATTCTCGTAATGATTTATATTTTGTTTAAATAATGGGTGAATTAAGTAGATAAAAAAGCACAATAGGTAAAACACAAAGGGTAAGACCCGCATAAATGGGTCCAGCACGACTTCTGCTTAGATGCTACTATAGAATATGCGGTACGTTCATGCCTATGCAGATATTTATGTTTATGAATGACAACCGGTGTTTCTATTTTTGAAGGAGAAACCACTGTCCAAATCTCTACAACGAGGTGAAGATCCTCAATTTGACCAAGTAAGTCAATAATATTATATATCAACACTTGGATTGGAAACAACATGAAAACGTGAATGTTTATCATATGTGAATATAACAGTTGTATATCATGTATATATAATATATACTGTATACATTATACATTAAATTTTGTGGGTTTTTTTCAGCTTTTGCGTTCACTAAATGCTGTTGCCAAATATAGCTTGTCTTCTCTTCTCAAAACGCTTTTTCAATGGTATTCAATGCAGGTAGGTTTTGCAAGACTTCACTACATAGTAATTGTTATGTAATATGGTCATCCATCGTACAGTGTATGAACTATTCTGCAATCTGATTGGTTGAGCTACATATATCAGATCATATACAGATACAGTAAGTAGCGATGGTATAATTGTCAAATATTTCCAACGACATTTGTGTGCGTCATGCACTGTAAGACAGTGTACAACTACGAATTCTTAAAATTGCCACTAACCTACACGAACGGGCTTTGTGATTGGTTGATCGTTACAATAAAAGACAATGAACTATAGAAATCATCTTTGTAAAGAACAAGTCGTAAACACTGATCACTATTTAGCCTGCGAACAGGCTCTCAAGCTGAATTGAGAGCCTGCATCGATGACTAGTGAATTTGAATATCTGCCCCGTAACGTTCGTTTTTCCAAATATGGAATGTCTATCCTTATATGGTGTTGTTTACAACTTTCGTGCAAACTAAATTTAGACCGTGCAAACTAAATTTAGACCGTGCAAACTAAATTTAGACCGTTCAGTTTATACTGTTTTTCGAAATATAAGATATTCAAGCAAAAGTTCAAATGTTTTAAATACTGTTTTCTCAAAACAGAACATTTCGTGCTTTGAGATAAGACGGCCAAGACCAATTTGATCAGTTAATGTGTTTTTTATGCATAGTGCTTGCAGTTGACATATATAGAACTCAGCGGAAACATATAAATTATAGCATCTGACCAATGAGAATTTCGCGTCACGATTTGAGACGCAGATATTCAAATTCATTAGTCATCGATGCAGGCTCTCAATTCAGCTTGAGAGCCTGTTCGCAGGCTAATCACTATTGTTTTATGAGGCCAATCACAAAACACAATCATTTTAAGTTGGTAGTTACCCATTGCTAAAGCCCGTTTTCCACTAGGCGAATTGTTCCACTAGGCGAATTGTTCCACTACGCTATAGCTAAACGACTTTTTAGCTTGTTCGTTGCTTCGCACGAACAAGACCTTCAATAAATCGAGGGACGTCGTTAACCATCTGCATGTATTTACCTGGATTTAAAGATTGACATTAAAAATCACCTGGATCGCTCTATACTGTAGTCAGTGGCGGGGTTTCGGTGTCTGTTTAAGGCTCTAAGTTATGCGAATCTTTCAGAACATTTGTCACTTGATGAAATGAATAAAGAGTCCAGAGTTGTGCCATTTGACTGACATTAGATACTTTTTCTAAGATAGATAATCAATTGGTCATGTCGATTGGCGTTGTTGTTTAATATACAGTTATAAGTAACAATTCTAATTGTTTAAAATGTTTTATCAGTAGGAATGTAAGGAACCCTACACAGAACAAAACAGATTGTATAAAATGCATTTCATTCTTAATATTCCAACATATTCTTTGGGTTATAGAAAGAACAAAGTCCAAGCGTAGATGTTACTGATGGTCAGAAAAATAAAAATGGCAATAAAAACAAGGGGTAATTATTATTGTCATCATTCAAACAGTCGTCTATCTTTAGTAGTCCGCAAATTCAGTATACTGTGCAGCATAACTCAACTCTTTATTTATGATTTATTATTATTATTAACTTTCTTACAGAGCATCTCCTGATTCTCCCAAACTGGCTGCCAAAGTCACTGGTAAAGAATTGGACTACCTTATGGAGAGGAGAGATGTAAGTTACTTCATGCAAAAATGTCATTCACGTGATTGCAATTTTCGAGATTCAATACGGGCTATGTACCCTGCAAGAAGTGTAATTAAAGGTCAATTTATATTTCCAACGACTTGTGTCGTGCGCAAAGGTTTCGTTGGTGAAAATGACGAATGTTAGGAGAGAAGTTAATGTTGTACTAAGCTTCGTCACTGTCGGGTACCTCTCACAATTTTCAAAGTTCAAGTTAAATTGCAAGTTTTAGTATATAAATACATGTTTGTCTTGTCTGTATTGCGAAATGTATTTGATGTCGAGTAGCGAAATTTCGTGCGACGCTAAAACTATGCATTTGGCCATTCGATCTTACATACACCCCAGCTCCTCTCGTAGTATTATTGATGGGTTTTGAAATTAATGTGCATGATGTACTGTGTGTACTGCACGCCTGTCTAACTAACGAGTTTTAACCAACATTTTATTCTCCTTTTTTTTTAGCATGCCATTGATTTTTTGTTGTGCCTAGTGCTTATTGAAGTTCTTAAGCAGGTACATTTGCTCACTAGCTTTTATGTTTGCAATGGTTTTGATCTTAATAGACAGAGCTGTCCTGTAAACTCGGAAAAGGCGCCCAGCGCCCTAGTACTTGTATTTAAAGAAAACAGGGCTAAAACATAACGGTCGATAGGTTGCCGTTTAACTGATTGATCAACTTGACCAGGGGTTTTTCTTCTCGTAAACAAACGAACAATTTAAGTTGTTAAAAAAACTGGCTGTCTAGTTTTAAACATGACTACGCGACTTATGAGCATATAAAACTTGTCTTATACCATTTTTAAATGTTATAAGTTCTCACCCTTTACAAGGTTTCCGTATTGTGTTTACATAATATGTAGTTTTCGAAATATTTCGGCCAAAACACCGTGCAGGCAGCCATCTTGGTTCAACTTGGTTGGCGTCACAACTGGGGCAAAGAGAATGTTTTGTTCTGCCAACCACATTTCATTATGAGCCTGAGACTTATACACAGCATATTAAAACACTTTCCTTGAAATGCAGTCAACCACATAGTAATTTTAACAGGTTTATCCTGCTCTGACCAAACCCCAGTTATAGTAGTTAGGTGAAATATAAAAACAGATAGCGGATTATATGCTCTTTCTGGTCAAAATAACTCTTAGACTAAAACCAAGCTAGATATAAAAAAGAATTGTAAAGGGTCTTCAAATATCATATTAAAAGTCCTGTTCCGATGACTTTGCCATTTCCATTTAGTCATTTTCAATTTACTGCATAGCTTCCAGAACATCCTGTGGACGACTCATTAACAAGTCAGATTGAAAGTCTTGCATTCAAATGTTTTAAACAACGAAGTTCGTTTGGTGACAGTCCTAGTGCTACCAATGCGTATATTATTGCTGCATTGTATGCTGAAGTTATTGGAGTTCTAGCACAGACGAGATTTCAGTCTGTAAGGAAACGCTTTCTCGCAGAGTTCAAGGAGAATGCGGGAAACAGTGAAATGTTGGTGAATGTAATATGTGGAATGAAATATCTTCGAATAAAGGTAGTTGGTAGTAGACTCTAATTTCCGCTATACTTTATGCCATACAACACCCTTTTTGAGCTGGATATCACATGTTTATTTTGGAATGTTTTTCATTGCAATACTGTATTTGTAGTGGCGGACACTTCGCGTTTTTTTGGCGAGGGTAAAATTAGGTTGCCAGTAAAATTTATATTGCCCACGTTTTGCTCCGGGAAATCTTTAGTTAGTTCTTTAAACTTTTTTCTTTAAACTTCATGCAATACTGTATATAGCTGAATTTATAGCCTACCGATGATCTGATGGTTGAAACATTGTTACAGCTTCGTTACACAGTTATTTAGCTATCATTCATGGGCTTTCAGAAATTATTGGGAGAGGCGGTTGACACCCCCTTTAGTGTTTACCACTAAATATTTGTTGCAGCAGAATTAACTTTAATTTATAATATTTTGGTGTCTTTCAGCTTTTTCCAGTTGAACATGTCGAAGAGACATTTATGTTCTTACAGGTAATCATAATGTGAATTATAGAGGGTATACACGAGTGTAGTCATTATGCCAGAGCTACTGTACAGTATTTGCAGATTTATTACTTTTAAAATTTACGACTCAAGACATGCTTTTATCTACCGACGTTTTCCTCATTAACACGCTCTGGAGATATGAAAGAAATGGCATAACACAGCTTTGTGGCAAGTACATGACACAATCTTGTCAGATATTGCGTTGCAAGATGCCAAAAAAGTGCTTTTTCTGTTTCTCACATCCGTTAGGAGGGTATGGTACCTGGATTTCTGTGTGTGTTTTTCACAATTCGATCAAAGTATGGACTTGGATAAATCATCTATTAAACCGTAATTTGATCGATTTGTGCTCACTATCAAGTAAAGCAATGACTTTCTCTGTTTATAGGATTGTGCAAATGTTTTCATTGAGACACGAGATAGAGATAAAGAAGTTAAATACGCATTAGCTGGTGTGTTTGTGGAGATTCTAGTTCCTGTTGCAGCAACAGCCAAGCGAGAATTTCATATTCCAGCTCTGAAGAATTTTATTGACTTGCTTTATCCTTATGCATTTGATATGTCTAAGAAGAACAAGCATCTTCATGTAAGAATTATGAATTGTACTTTTAATTTCGTAATATTACACATTTTGTGTGTTTTGCTTGTTTCTACAACCTGAGCAGGCTCGCGTGCATGTGGACCTTGGATCTTGCCGGAGTTCAATATAATTCTGAAAACATGATGAACTTGGTTGAACCTGAAGTCGTATGAACAACCAAAGTTACTGGCTTGCTGTAATGTCCCTGGTAGATAACATTCGTTAGTATACTGTACGTGTAAACTGCGTGTACATTAAGGTTAAAATTTCGTTTATGGCGAATGTGAGTGAAAGACAGATTGAGTTCTGTGTAACTATGCGTGTATATACTTGACCGAAACTGCTCTAAACTTTGTAAACAAAATATTGACTGGATAGCTCTGTCAATTCTAAATGTTTTTGGTTGGGACCCAGTTACGGCCATTTTTTTACCATATTGAGAAGAAAACCGGAAAATGTGGAGAAAGCTGCGGATTGAGATACGACAACCTGAACAGTACAAGCAGAACTTTGACGTTCCGAGCCTTTCATTGCGAAGTTCCGTTGGAGATTATACCTGCAGAAAACATGCCCTGTTTGACAGAGATAAACTCTTAAACATATGCACGCCCGAAATTATAAACAGGAATCGAACCCTGGTGACAAAGATGGAGAAACATGCACTAAGACACCAACACTCCATGTGGTCACCTGATGAGAGACATGCACTAACCACTAAGACACCAACACACCATGTTGTCACCTGATGAGAGACATGCACTAAGACATCAACACTCCATGTGGTCACCTGATGAGAGACTAACCACTAAGACACCAACACACCATGTTGTCACCTGATGAGAGACATGCACTAAGACACCAACACTCCATGTTGTCACCTGATGAAAGACATACACTAACCACTAAGACACCAACACACCATGTTGTCACCTGATGAGAGACATGCACTAAGACACCAACACTCCATGTGGTCACCTGATGAGAGACATGCACTAACCACTAAGACACCAACACACCATGTTGTCATCTGACGAGAGACATACACTAACCACTAAGACACCAGCACACCATGTTGTCACCTGATGAGAGACATGCATTAACCACTAAGACTCCAACACACCATGTTGTCATCTGACGAGAGACATACACTAACCACTAAGACACCAACACACCATGTTGTCACCTGATGAAAGACATGCACTAACCACTAAGACACCAACACACCATGTTGTCACCTGATGAGAGACATGCACTAACCACTAAGACACCAACACACCATGTTGTCACCTGATGAAAGACATACACTAACCACTAAGACACCAACACACCATGTTGTCACCTGATGAAAGACATGCACTAACCACTAAGACACCAACACACCATGTTGTCACCTGATGAAAGACATACACTAACCACTAAGACACCAACACACCATGTTGTCACCTGATGAGAGACATACACTAACCACTAAGACACCAACACACCATGTTGTCACCTGATGAGAGACATACACTAACCACTAAGACACCAACACTCCATGTGGTCACCTGATGAGAGACATACACTAACCACTAAGACACCAACACACCATGTTGTCACCTGATGAGAGACATACACTAACCACTAAGACACCAACACACCATGTTGTCACCTGATGAAAGACATACACTAACCACTAAGACACCAATACTCCATGTGGTCACCTGATGACATCATCAACTGACAATAATCGCCATTCAGTGATACCTGAAATCAGGCGGAACATTGTGTAAACTTTGTGATCTCTTTTCAGGCGATGTATCCATTAGTTGCCGTGTTGATGTGTGTTAGTCAGAAGCAGTTTTTCTTGACACATTGGCCGTTCCTGTTAAATGCATGTTTAACTAACATCAAGGTCAGTATTATGAACTCTTTTGTTTCAAAGTTTCCTTATTTATATAATTCACAATTTCAGTAGAAACACTGTTCAAGTTTACTGGAAAGAAAACACGAAGAGTGAGAGATTTCACGTAGTCGCGCCAGTGGGAAAAACCTACTGTAGTTCAAGATTGAATGAAATGCTATGTCTTGTCACTTCATCATATTGAAATTCCCTTTGACATTTCAGGTCATAATGACTTTATTAATCTTTTTTTAAAAATATTTTTACCAAATGCGCATTGCAAGACTGCAATGACGGTCATTTTAGTCCAAAGATTCAAAGAAATATTGTCAGTGGTAAAAGTCAAACAAGTCGATGTTCTGTATTTAAGTTTTATAAAAAATATAACGGTTATTACTTTTAGAATTTTAAATATTAAATGTGTTATTCTTTTCTTCAATCCAGCATCGTGACACGAAATTACAAAGGATATGTTTGGAATGTCTTTATCGAATGTTGTGGTGAGGACGGTTACTAATTGACCATTTGCGTAATAGACTAAATTTTGATCTAAACAAGTCTAGACAAAAATTTCATCACAGCTTGAAAGAGCATCACAAAATTAGTAATATTCCAAAGTTTCGTTGCGAAATGTTGTAAAATGCGGATAATATAGCCTTTCAAATTTTGCAATTTTCAGTCATTTTAGATTACAAACGGGAAATTGACAGCCTCAAAGGGTTTGGGGCTGTCAATTTCCCGTTTGTAATCTAAAATGACTGAAAATTGCAAACTTCGCAGAGCTATATTATCCGCATTTTACAACATTGCGCAACGAAACTTTGGAATATTACTAATTTTGTGATGCTCTTTCAAGCTGTGATGAAATTTTTGTCTAGATCAAAATTTAGTCTATAATGCAAATGGTCAATTATGGGCTGTAATGTGTGTCTGCTAATTTGTACCAAACTGCATGTTATACGTTGATACAAGACAGCTGCGGATTGAGAGAGTTACAACTTCCTGAAAAATATAAGCAAAACTTCGACGCTTCGAGCGAAGGCCCTTAATTCGTCCACTAACCGTTTTGTGTCCGAAACAGTCTCTGTTAGTGCGGACAAAAATGGTGGCTAGAGATGATATAGGTTGTTGGGTCTGTTCTTCTTGGCTTCCTGAACTGGTTCTCTTGACTCCATCCCACGCATGCGCACATCCCATCGTTAGTGTCCTCAGTCTACAGCTGTCTCGTCCCATGTTGCAGCCTGGGTTCATGTTGTACGTACTGTACGATGATCAAGATGTTCTATACGACTGGTGCACTATTAGCCATTTGTTTTTATTGGCCATTTATGTACGCATCGTGTGAACACGCGCGTACAACTAAACATTCAGACTAAATGGGTTACTCAAGTATAATTGCGTGTTTTTATAGGGTTTATGTAATTCGAATCAAAGGTGAAAATAACCCAACAACATTAAGGTACGTTCTTGAGTTACGTAGAGCCTTACAGTAATTGTGTCCTGTTATTTTTGTTACTCAGTGTGAGGTGTATTTGTACTTTATCTTTCTGTAGTCGTCTGCGCAGTGTAACAGATACATTATTTCCAAGAGGATCAAGAATAGTGAACCCACGAGATGTTCCGATCACGATCTTTGTCAAGATTGTACACTTTATTTCACATGTAAATATTCTTCGTCTTAGTTTGTTGTGTTCTAGCCTGCGAGCAGCCCGAAATTTCGTTCAAAGGAAAACCGGAAATTCGGGCTGCGAGCAGGCTAGTTGTGTTCGTTCTCAAATTTAAATGTTATCACCTTTTTGTTTGATATTTATCTTGTTTAGTATAATCTCGACTTCGCTATGCAGGACATTATTTTTGATTTGTTAAGCGTTGGCCGTTTCAGACAAATTTATCCAGAGGTGAGTTCGATATAAACAGTTATTCAATTTGAAAACGTAACATAACTAGTAAATTAAAACCTAGTAAGTTATTACTTTCGCGACTCTTTTGTTTGGGCTATGTTTGGCTTTACCTGCTCAATTTCACATTTGGTACGTTTTACGATCGATCACGACGATTTCCGGACCCCTCTGAGCACTCCGGGCCCCGGGTATTTTGCCCCCTCTGCCCCCTCTCGCCGGCCTTGTGGCTGCTGAAGGCAGTAAGGACGCATTATACAGTGCAATTAATATTTTCACCATACTAACTTGACCTGATGCAAGTGGTCAAACATTTGCGTTACTGTAATTATAATGTACTTCATTTAGAGAATGAATATTGGTCTGAGATCTTTTTTGGTAATTGTTGATAGTCTGCAAAAGAAGGTAACGTGTATTAATTGTACACATAGTTTTTGGTCACACATATCATTTTTCTTACGTGAACTACTGTATCATGCATATGATTATTTAATTTTTTTTATTTAAAATTTTTCGCCCACAACGTCAGGGTTTTTTCAGGGATTTTTTAGGACCGTAAAACGGCCCCAAAAACTCAATTTTGAATTGAGTTTTGAAACCAATCTTCTCACCAAAGTTTCAGTGCAGTAAAAATGAAGTTGTTTGAGTTAAGTTTGTGACATGTGGAAATTAGTTTTCAGTAGGAGACCCGGCAATTAAGAAAAAATGGCTGGAATTCATTTCACAACACAAGAAAAACTACGCATTCGCCATCTTTAACCAGTTTATAGTGTCTGTTTTAACACATTGCATCTCAACTACACTTATTGGGTACACGTGTCAGCCTCCCGCATCTGCACCACACCCCCGCTGGTCAACTAAACGCAATCTTCTCTGCAAGAACGGACCCAAGAGAAAATCCTGAAAAAAACGCTGAACGTGACTTTTCTATATTATATATCTTACAAAATAATCATTAATTACAGGGCTAGGGGTCTATTGGAAACATTTAATATGTTTTTATATAACAATAACCAATAACGTTTTAATAACCAATTTGATATGATTATATACAAATGCTTACAGGAAGGTGATCCGCCAATGCCAAATACAACTGGAACATTACCATCAGGGAGTTCACTACGAGTAAAGAAAAGTTTCTTAAACAAACCATTGACTGAAGAATCCGCTAAGGATCTCGGGATTTCCAAGTATTTTCACAGGTACGTTTGCATTTTTTTAGCAAAGTGATTCGATTATATTGTAAACCACAATTCATTACAACAAACAATGTAATCAAACGATGTACTATGGACATACTGATAGTTATTTCGTATTTTCAGTGTGTGCAAAGCTTTGAACAACATCCTTCACAATCTCGACTTACAAGTTGGACGACCATTAATGAAGAACAATCCACAATGTTCAAATAAAGACCCATATGATATGATCACGTAAGGACACAACACCGATTTCTATATAAACATGCCAAACCACCATATTAGATGCGTACCAGATTTTGGCTTTAACATTTTCCGTTGTATTGCAGAGGAGAACGGAAAGCAAAGATTGACCTGTTTAGGACATCTGTTGCATCGATACCAAAGTAAGTAACAATGTTGTGAGTGAGAAACGTAATGTTCTATTTCATTCTGTTGGAAATGTACAATATCTGGTTTCGTCATATATTAATTTTATAAAGTTTTATACAGAAAACTGTGTACAATATTATATATGTTGATTTAATTATAGGTTAATCCCACATGGTATGAACAAGAATGATGTTGTAGGATTACTGTCAAGATTGACCATACACGTTGATGAAGAACTGAAAAGGTCTGTACTCCACATCATCCAGTGTATGCCAGGCTCTAATGAACTACATGGCCATTATTGACCCAATAACAAGTGCTTGACACTTTGTTCTGGACGGGTAAATCGTCTGGCGTTTTGTCCATGGGATTCACAACGAAAACGTTGCTCTTAATCTCTCAAAAAGGGACCACGTATAGCGGCAAAATCAGAGGCGCAACTTGACTGTACGTATTAGGGAGGTGGGGGTGAGTTCTTCTTGCCCAACAAAAGGACATGATCACCAACCAAAGCCGCGCCTACGAACGGACACACAGCCCAACACTTGGCTGCTTGGTGTTACACACACACCCACCCACTTCTCTCCCAACAATTGTGGCCCTGGGCAAAAATGATTAAATATCATTGTATAGAGGATCCTACATTGCATGGCAGGGAACAAGTCTGGATACACGCAGCTATTATCTCGTATTGGGCACCCAATATACGCATTACTATAAGCGACAGACATTATGTTTGATAAACAGAAGTAACTCTATTTTTTTATCATCCTTGGTGCATCCAAAACCATATCTGATTTTGTTTTACAATGTAGGGCGCATTATCTAGGGTGCATTTCAGTTAATGTCTTAACTACACATAGTATTACTCAGACGTTATATTTTTCTCTAGTCTTGCATTTTCATCGCTGCAGAGTTTGATTCTTGATTTTGTGGAATGGAGAGAAGATGTAATTGTTGGTAAGATGTTATTGAACATTTTCTGGCATTGAACAATACTGCACAAACAGCATATTTCACGAACTTAAATTAAATAGTTACGCCGTACTGTAAGACATACGTTCCTTGGAGATAAGTAACTTCATGCTTGGTGAAGAAAAATCGTTCGGCCGATCAAAACACTGCGAGATTAATTTCATGCGAAAAATATCGTCTGTCGTGGGAATATTAACATTTTATTTCATTTAGTGCAAGGAAATCTCAATACTTACATCACTGAACTATTGTCTATTGAAGGGTTTTCGAGAAACTGCCATCGCCTATTCTTAATAACCAAATTATTGGTGTTTCAACTAAATGTTTAAATTTAGCGCCATTGTGTATAATATACGAAATATATACCTTTGCTATTTTGAAGATAAGACTATATACTGCTTTTGCACTAGGTGTATTATAAACTATACAAGCACATGATGCGTCGTTTCCATAGAAACTAAAGAACTAAATATTTTTCTAGGTTTTGTGAATTTCATCATGCGTGAAGTACAAGATCACCATGCGACCTTATTGGATGGTTTATTGAGAATGGTTTTAAAGATGTTGGCTCAATGGAAAACATTGATCACCATGCCTGAATCGGAACGAAAGGTAGTTCTTGTTTTACCGGCAAAAAAGTGTAGGCAATTAATGTACTAAAAGTGTACCTAATTTATATGAAAAGTATAATTACGTACATTTAAAGGCAACAGTGTTGCCTGCTGAGCGATGTGATTTAGTTAGCGTGAAATTTGCAAACTTTTTAAAGTTTTTCACATTTGCGCAAAAGGTTGGTAATATTACATGGCTCGATATTGGCTCATTATATAATAATAGTCGGTCTAATTTACACAGAATCTTCAATTTCTAACTCTCAATATGGTTAAAAATAATATCAAATTACAGTATTGTTATATTGTCCCGACGGCATAAATTCACATCGCTCAGCAAGTGACACTGCCATCAACTAAGTGGAAAGCTATGTGTCCATTTGATTTACTGTATATGTACATTTCCAAGTGGTCGCTTTCATTTAATATGCTTAATACAGATTCAGTAAGGCCGTTTTCTGGTGAATTCAGACAGTGGTTTCTTGTGCTGTGTATAGTGCCCGCCATTATATTTGCCACCTGAACATTGCGGTTTTCTTAGCATGCAAGATCTCAAAGCGTAAAATCGATATAGGGATTGCGTGGTAGTTATTTTTGTAAAATGCGTAATTTGTGTTTTCCTGCTTTTATTCATTCATTGATTTATGACTTATGATACAGGGTACATTTCAACAAGCTGATATCACGATCCCAATGAGTGCTATTCATTGTATTGAAGGATGTGGATTGGCTATGCTCTGCAGGTATATACTTACTTTACGTAGTACATACAGTATGAGCGGCCGTATTATAAAAGATACCCCCCAGCTTGTGATTCGTCCTGGTGAAATATTCGTACTCTTCAATAAAGACATGGATGTTATTTCGTGGGAGGAACTGAAAGTTGATGTAAATCAACAGGATTTTTTCATGTGATCTCATTCCTTTTCCGTTTTTCTCCCTCGCGTGCCGTCCCACGTGTACAAACCAAAGCGCCTGGGTACGAGGCAGATCTAAAACATTTATCATTTATCATTTATCTCATTCTTAAACAAAGAATCTAGACAATTGTGAAATGGACTTTTCAAAATTGTAACTGTAAATTTTTCATTATCCACAACTACATTTATAAAAAGTCGCATTTCGCGGTGTGTGCACTCTCAGCCTCGGAGAGGCAATACCACACGCAATATGCCCCAAATGGCGGATAAACTGAGCGTGAGAAAGGCTGATTTTAATTTTTCCCTATTTCTAGTGTTCGCCAAATGCCACGAAAACTTGCTTTGTTGTTGCTGAAAGAGGCGCGAGTACTGGGTAATCTTGTTGCTAAGGTAACGTTTCTTATTTTCAATTTATATTTTTTATTTCTATGATAAATAATTTTAAAGTACTAACTCCAAAGATTAACATAATACATTATTTATTTTCATCCTTTCCTTCAGAATGGTTCTGAAATCTTTGTAATGGACATTATTGATGAAATATCTTCTGATATTTTGACCAATGCTCTGAAAAATTTATCACCAGAGGACAAGGTTGGTATTGTAATGTACTGTACATGTTATATAGACTACATGTGGACAGTGTGGACAATGATGGGCAAGTATAGATAGGGATTATATGTCATATGGGAGCAGGCAGGTGCATGGGAGAATATGTATAGGTTTACTTTGAGTATGGTGTATAACAGTAGCGAAGCCAGATATTTTCGTGTTCATACACCGTGAAAACAATCAATTTCTAAAGAAATGAATAATGATAATGATGTAAAATTTGCATAGCATGACCAAATTGTCGGGCTGGCTTCGCCACTGGTGTATAATATGGACATGGTTTACTACACTAGTATATTCCTTGAACAATTAGTACATTCATTACCCAACGTTTCGACACACCAAGTCTTCAACTGGGGTGACTATAGCGTGGTTAACTTGTGTTCCTTGGGGATGACGTCACCTTCAAACAAGTTAGCACTGTTGCGCTAGATAGTTACCGCCATCCCTTTACCGATTTCGGTCTTCTCCATGTTGGCCGATGATGTGATACAGGTGTACATCTAGTGTACAAACCTGACGCGTTCATGCTCAGTTATTCACTCGGGTATCTTTGGAGCCTGTTTCACCTTTCGCCTTCGGTTTAAGTGACTATTAGTTTCAGCAGTGCGCATTGCGTTCTCTTTTGCGCTCCGAACGCGATTTTGCCTATTCTCGGCCCGTTGTAGGAACCGACACGAGTGGATGACCTCTTCCGGATGTTTTTTGCTGCTGCTTCCTGCACTGTTCCGGGTAGGACCGGACAAAAGAAGGGGATATCCAGGATATAAGAAGCTATGTTGCGACCTTAGATCACTCCTGATGATAACACTAGACCAGAGTATCGAAAAACGTCCACTCGTGAATATAATTTATTTCTTGTGGACTATATTCATACTGAGTATATAACGAAACGTGTCATATATTGTTTCTTATTGTTGCGAAAACTTCAATTATTCTTTTATGTTTTAATTTCGTAGAGTCTGTTTGGTTCATCAATGAACATGGATCTCCAGTGGTTTGTGGATAAATTACCATCAGGTTTTGACACTGAAACTGGTGAATGTGGTGACGCACGTTATAATGATCTATGGGGTTCAGTTATATCTCAGTTACTGCTTAAGAAACATATTCCTGATGCATGTCCTGTGGCTACACAGTTCAGTTGGCAAGCTGTTCATCACAGGCTCTTTTTTGTTTATTCATTTATTGATCCTAGGTACAGCATTTCTACTTATATCTATATTTTTTCCTATCTATATGTGTTCATATATATATATATATTGTGTTCATATATATATATATATATATATATATATATATATATATATATATATATATATATATATATATATATATATATATATATATATATATATATATAGAGAGAGAGAGATATATATATATATATATATATATATATATATATATATATATATATATATATATA